GTTTCTTGTTGGTTAGACAATGCTTTTCTTTGATAACAAAATTACCTATCAGTTGTTTCTCTTGACATTTCTTGGTTAGAAATACCTCTTCATCTTTTCTTCAGTTCACATCAAAGTATTTCCGAAGAGGCATGCCTTTTTTAGCATTTGGGTGGCAAGGTGTTAGGAAAGAAAAATGCAGTGCTTTTGAATTAATTTAACCTCATCATTAAATGTGCATGTTAATCTTCATTATTTTATAATGACTGCCAATTGGCCTGTTCAGTTTTCCAGACTCAGTTGGAAAGCTGATATCCTTAAATCTGTTTCTCATCAAAACTTAATACATTAACTAGCTCTGTTTTTCCCCCCACAGAGCTAGAGATTAAATTATAATAGAGCCTGTACTCAGTAAAGTTTTATTTACTTGACACCTATGAAAATTCCACTAGAGAAGATGATTAGATATATCTTTTGATGTATACTTTGGTGAATGAGATTAAAACCAAGCAGTGAAATGAAGTATAGACATCAGCATTTGAATTGTAGTATCAAAATTTAAGTGGAATGTTAGTAAAACAGGATTTGTGAAGTCTGAAACCCCATAGAGCCATAACACAGAAATGGATTTTCAAAACTAATAAATTTTGAATGTATAATATTAAATCCCTCTCCCTGTGAAACAGAATGTTTTGGTATTGTGTTTTTCACCAGCAAAAACAAAACAAAACAACCCCACAGTGTTTTTCATGAGAGCATTAAAGCGATAAAAGGAATCTAAACTCATGTAGGCAATTCTTTGATTTGAACAATTGGCGCACAGCTGTTTAGTACTATAATTAAAACTAGATGTTAGGTAACTGGATTCCTAATCCATTTCACTTGCTACCATACTCTTTAGTGTTGCCATTACAATTTTAATATCTTTTTAATTCTTTTTATTTTCATAGCTGCTATGCAGTTAGATATTAGTTTATGTTAAACAATATATTTGATTGTTTTCTCTTTGGAAATTTTTTGTTCAATTCTATTTTTTTTTATTTCTTTGGTATCCTTATCTAATATACACATCATTTAATATCTAGGTTATTAGTTGCCTTTTGACTGTATTTACTACTTCATAGCTTTCTGCCTTTGATTCTTTGCAATTTATTTACTACACTGCTGGTGGATTGGTTATTTCATTTTCTTTTTCAGTGCTGGGTACCTCACACATACTAGGCAGGGGCTCTACCACTGAGCTATACCTCTAATCCCTACATTGATATTCTTTAAATGGTGTTTTTGCTGCGTTGTAATCCTGTTTAAGAGCCAGAGTGTCTTCTTTCAAATATGTGATAAAAATTTTCGGTTTGGCCTTCAAAGAATCTTCTCTAGTGATTGTGGCTTACCTGTTTGGTCATATGTCCACATCTGATAAGCTCTTGAAAACTCCCAGCCTTACATACCACTTCACTTAATCCAGCTTTAGAATTGGTTATGTTTTCACATTGAAAACTTCCAAATGCCTTTTTCTTTCTGTTATCATTGATGAATAATGTTTCCTTCAGATATGTATGTTTTAGTTGTGCTCATTTTTGCTGTAGCCAAAGCAGTGCTATTTATGTGAATGCATGTGTGGATTTGGGAAATGTTAATTTAAAAATGAGCCAGGCGCACACCTGTAATACCAGCAACTGGGGAGGCTGAGGCAGGAGGATTGCAATTTCAAAGCCAGCCTCAGCAACTTAGTGAGACCCTAGGCAACTTAGTAAGACCCTGTCTCAAAATTAAAAATGAAAAGGGATAGGGACATGATTCAGTGATTATGTGTGCTGGGTTAAATCCCTAGTGCAAAAACAAACAAACAAACAAACAAAAAACCCCCAGAAAAATAAATACATCAGAAGTTTTCTGATAGGAAGAAAATATAAGGAACAGCCTCCTTGGTGTTGTATTTTTAAGCTTAAAACAGATATTTTAAACACCTATAATATAATAAGCCCTGTGCTTGACTGTGTGTTACAAAGAGAAAAAAAAATAGTTTAAAGGACATTCAAAGACAAGTGTGAAAGGCAAACTTATATTTGAACAAATAGATTGCCTTAGGAAGATAGACACCAAGTGCAAGGTGATTTAAATTAGGAAGCAATGCACTATGCTTTGAGAAAAATGAAAAGGATGGGAGGTCATAGATACTTTGTATAATTTAAATAAATTATTCCTACAAAAAGATTGTGGAAACAGAAAAAAAAAATGTCCCTTTTCCCATTAGTCTACCTGGTGGAATATAAGAATGACCTGTGGCCACAGGTCATTGTCTAAGGGGGGGGGGAAATAATTTTCCACTAATTCTCTGGGTGGAGTGCCCACAATGATCCTAAGGCTTTTGGGGGAATACTCCTGATGTTTCTATCACTTGATCACATATTATGCTGTTCTAGGGATTGGGTGGTAAAGCACTTGCCTAAGGTATTATGTTCATCTAACCTGAGGTCCTGGGTTCAATCCCTAGCACTGCAAATGAAGAAAACCTTGCTGGAAGTGGTGGCTCCCTTCTGCAGTCCCAGCACTTTCCCAGTAGGAAAAAAGTCTTTGTCTATGAGATGGGGGGATGGGAGAGTAAATGTTTATTAAATAATATGAACTAATGTAGATTTTTTTAAATGATGAAAAAATGTACATTTTTTAATTAGTCTACTGAATTAATTTTAGATGATCCCATTTTTGTTGGCAACATCCAAAGCAACATAATCTGGAGCAAGCCAAACCTATGCCTTTTTATGCCATCAGAGTATTGACCTTGGCTACATCAGTGACATAAAACTTCTGGTGCTTGTTGGACTTGACATCCACAGTGAGCACAAGTGTGTTATTTTCTGTCGTCTTCTTGGCAGATTCAGTTGTCAGGGAGAAATTAGGGATAGCATAGTAATGAAGCTGGATTGTTTCTCCTAGAGGCGCTCTTGGGAGGACTTCTGGGCTACCTCTGGAAGATATGGTATCTTGGGCTACCAAAAGGCAGCTAACCTGTGTGTGGGGGGAACGTGGACAAGTTTTAACTGCCTTCTTGGCCTTTAAAACCCTTGATTTGTCTTTATCTTTGTCTTTGGAAGGAGCAGAAGCTTCCTTCACTTAAAAAAAAAATTAAATTTGTTCTTTTTTAGGCATACATGACAGTAGGGTGTATTTTGACATATACATACAACTTATTCTAAGTAGGATTCCATTCTTGTAGTTGTACATGATGTGGAGTTTCACTGGTCATGTATTCATATATGAACATAAGAAAGTTATGTCCAATTCATTCTATTTTTCCTATTCCCATTTCCCTCCCTTCCTTTACTTTTGTTACCATTTTTGGGAAAATGTCCCAGATGTCTCTAATATAAAACAAAATGATAGAGCACTTGCCTTACATGCGTGAGGCACTGGGTTTGATCCTCAGCACCACGTAAATAAATAAAGGTATTATGTTCATCTATAACTAAAAAAAAACCCAAAACCCTATTAAAATACTAAAGGATTTTTTCTTTCTCTCTCTTTTTTTTAAAAGAGAGAGAGAGGAGAGAGAGAGAACTTTAATATTTATTTTTTTAGTTTTCGGCGGACACAACATCTTTGTTTGTATGTGGTGCTGAGAATCAAACCCTGGCCGCACGCATGCCAGGCGAGCGCGCTACCGCTTGAGCCACATCACCAGCCCAGCATTTTTTTCTTTACTGAAATTTTAAATATGAAATGAAAGAATCTGGTGGAGGAGGGCTTCCATAGGCCTGAAAGTGAGAAAGATTAAATTACTTTTGGGACTAGGGTTGTGGCTCAGTTGTAGGGTGCTTCCTTGCATTCGGGAGGCAATACTGGGTTCGATTCTCAGCAAAACATAAAAATGAAATAAAGATATTGTGTGTACACCTACAACTAAAAAATAAATATTTTTTTAAAAAATTGTTTTTAACAAAAGCAATATCAGCATCATAATAGGAAAAATCATTAAAAACTGGGACACGGGCTGGGGTTGTGGCTCAGTGGTGGAATGCCAGCCTGGCATGCGTGAGGCACTGGGTTCGATCCTCAGAACCACATAAATGTAAAATAGAGACATGTGTCCACCTACAATTAGAGAATAAATATTTAAAAAAAAAAAAAAAAACCTGGAACGCTGGAGCCAGTCCACTTGGGGATTCAAATTGTGGATTCATCACTTCCTAGCTGCATACTTTTGAGCAAGTCTGTAAAATGAAGGTGCCAGTTATTGATCTATTGCTTTTCAGCTCTAAATTTGTCTTCCATTGTCCTGTTTGCCAATTATTGTTTAGTTTTGTCAGAAGGGGGACAATGGAGAAGGGGTGGTTTCCTTTGTGTGCTGCTTGCTCTTGTGTCAAGCAAGGATTAGTGGAACATTCAGTGGGAGTTTTAGTGGTAACACACCCATGTGCGGTTTCCCAATAGTTATACACTGTGGCATCTCCCCATGTGTGGCTTTCCCCAGCATCCAGAAAGGTACCTTCCCAACACATTCTGCTGACATGAGTTCTCCCAGTAGTTGTCTTGTGCCAGTATCACAGAGAGTAACTTTCTGGTGAATTCTGCTGGCATATTTTCTTAGTAGATTTCTCAAACATCCATGGTTGTGTCCTCTACACAAGATGATGATCTCACCTCTAGTAGGAGTGGCACTTTTGCATTTTTGTACAGAGTTGGTCTTTTCTGTTGTCCTGTGTCAGCTCTAGAAGTAGGGGTTACTTCCTTTCTCTACTCCTGGGTAGTTAATCTCCTTTTGTAATTAAAAGTGTTTTGTATTAAACTTTTCCCTGTTCAAATTATTGTGTGATTTCTATCTTCTAATTATACTTTGATATTTGGGGTTTATAAGTAGTAGTACTTTTCCTGTAAGATTGGTCTAAAGATTAAATCAGATAATATATGCAAAGTGTTTAGAATAGTGTCTGCCATAATGAGTACTCAACCACTGTTTTTTTGGTGTGCTAATACTATCGTTATTGTCTATTAAGGGCGACATTTCTACTTTTTGTTTACAGGATGTTTCGTCTTAACTCACTTTCTGCCTTGGCTGAACTGGCTGTGGCCTCCAGATGGTACCATGGAGCATCACAGCCCACCCAGACAAGGCGAAGACTAATGATGGTGGCTTTCCTGGGAGCATCCGCAGTAACTGCAAGTACTGGTCTCTTGTGGAAAAGGTGAGTGTTATCTGACCATCTTGTTCTTAAGTGAACTTATATTTTTTCAAATGTCTCTGTTAGAATGGAGTTGATTTCTGAATTAACTTTGTATCAAAAGTTATTGCCCAAATCATTTGACATTGATAGTATTAGTCTATGAAATAATATATTTTAAAGAATTCAGCCATGGCAATAAATAGAAAACATAGTGCTTTCAGGTCTGCTTGTCTCCCCTGCTGAACATTTTTCATAATGGTATAGGGATGTCAGTAGTTGCTTTAGAAAATGAGTGCTTTGGGAGACTCAGAATCTAGTAGCCATATGAAATTAACTGATGAATCTCAGTATTTGTGTCACCTGATAAATTTCCTTTCTTGTTATTGAAACTTCCCTGGAGGGAAGAGAAAATATAGTTAGTATAGTCTTCTCTTTCTTAAAATATATAGGTACTGTTTTTCTGATTCTACCAACTCTTGTTTTTTATCTTTTACCCACTTCACCCTGTCTTAAAGTTGCTATCATGATTAGCTTTCTCAAAAAGATTACATTTTTATTATTTTTTATTAATTATGTTAAATGAAAATATGTACAATAAAATATACTAATTTTAGATAGACAGTTAAAAAATGTTTGTATATTGTACTGAGGATTAAACCCAGGATCTCATACATGCTAAGCACTCTTACCATTGAGCTACATCCCCTGTCCTTTTTATATTTTTATTTTGGGAGAGTCGTGCTAAGTTGCCCAGGCAACCCTTGAACTTAAGATCCTTCTGCTTTAGCCTCTTAAGAACTGGGATGACAGGTGTGTACCATCTTGCCCAGCCAGTTCAATAATTTTTGTTTTAATTTTTTTTATTTAAAGACAGGATCTCGGGGCTGAGGATGTGGCTCAAGCGGTAGCGTGCTCGTCTGGCATGCGTGCGGCCCGGGTTCGATCCTCAGCACCA